AAAGGGTCTTTAGACGAGGAAGTAATCATGTCCTTGTCGAAGGAAGCCTCGACAACTTCAATCACTTTACATTCCTCGATCTCACCATTCTCATCACTACTCTTCATCGCCTGATATATGGAAAATGTGATGCTCTCGTCGTCAACTCGGAGAGTAAGCTCGCCATTCTTCACATCAATCAATGCTCCCCCGGTCGCAAGAAACGGACGACCCAAAATTAGCGGAACCTCCTTATCCTCCTCCATGTCAAGGACCACAAAATCAGCCGGGAAGATAAACCCCTCGACTTTCACCAGTACGTCTTCCACAATCCCCTTTGGATAAGACAAGGACCTATCCGCCATTTGCAATGCAATCGTCGTGGGCCTAATCGTCCCAATCTCCAACCTCTTAAAAATGGATAATGGCATCAGATTAATACTCGCCCCCAAGTCACACAACACCTTCCCAAATCGCTTTCCTCCTATGATGCATGCTATTGTGAAGCTCCCAGGATCCTTGCGTTTGAAAGGCATCTTCTTTTGGATCATAGCACTACACTCCTCTGTCAAATTCACCTTCTCATACGCCTTGAGCTTCTTCTTCCTAGATACCATGTCCTTCAAGAACTTGGCATATTTGGGCATCTCCTGCAATGCATCAACAAGAGGAATATTTATTTGAACTTTAGTAAATATCTCACGAAATTTGGCATATTGTTCGTCAATTTTTTTCTTTGCAAAACGTTGAGGAAAAGGTAAAGGAATATTAGGAGTAGAAGTGTTAGAAGTAGATATTGGCTTCTCAGCCCCTGTAATTGACGATTTTGGGGGCTCCACTACTACTTCCTCAACTTCTTCCTCTTCCTTGCTTTCCTCATGCACGACTCTTTCCGGCTCATCAGACGGCATCCTCGGGCCCTCATACTCCATACCACTCCTCAGACGAATGGCTTTGCACTGCTCCTTCGGATTCACCTCTGTGTTGCTCGGAAATTGTCCCTTCTGATGTTGACTCCCAACTGTCGTGGCCACTTGCCCAATCTGCTGCTGCACCGACTTCAGTTGATTCTCTATTGACACAAAACGTGCGTCATTCGCGCTCAGCATTTGCTTTGTCTGGTCCATAAATGATTGTGTGCTAGTCATGAATGAGGCTAGCACATCTTCGATTGGTGGCTTCTTTGGCTCATTGATAACCCCATTAGTCACCGAAAATCCTGGGGGCGGCTGTAGAGCATTATTCGGATTCGCATACGAGAGATTGGGGTGATTCCGGTTGCCTTGGTAATAAGTGTTGCCCGCTTGAGGCCCCCGAAAATTCCCAAAATTCCGATTATTCACATAATTCACATCCTCGACCGGTTCTCCAACTCCAACACTCTCAGTCTTTACTCCTTGCAAGTTATTCATCAACAATGCCACCACATTAGCCGCAATAGATGACGCTGAGTCCGTCTCATTAGTCGCCGCGACCCTCTTAAGCATAGTTCTCTCAACCGGCCATTGGTAGCTATTCGAAGCCATCTCCTCAAGAATCCGCTTTGCGTCATTTGGTCGCCTTCCCAAGAGAGCACCTCCAGCTGAGGCATCCACCATGGCCTTCATCGGGCCACTCAACCCATTATAGAAGTAGCAAATCTGGTGCTCCTCCGAAAAACCATGCTGTGGGCACGTCCGAAGGAGTTGCGTGTAGCGCTCCCAAGCCTCATATAAAGGCTCGTTATCTTGTTGCTTGAATTGAGTGATCTCCGTCTGAAGTCTCAACATCTTACTCGGTGGGAAGAACTTCAAGAGAAATTTCTGACGCATNCTCGGTGGGAAGAACTTCAAAAGAAATTTCTGACGCATTTCCTCCCATGATGTCACTGTCCCGGTTTCCAGAGAATTGTACCAAACCTTCGCCTTATCTCTAAGAGAGAAAGAGAAAAGGCGGAGGCGAATAGCATCCTCCGGGACTCCATTGTACTTCACAGTACTGCATATCTCCAAAAATTGCGCCAGATGCGCATTCGGGTCCTCGATAGCACCTCCCCCAAACTGCTCTTGCTGAACCATACGAATCAAGGATGGGCTCAACTCAAAAGTGTTAGCTGCAATTCTCGGCCCGTGACCTCCTCCATATACTTGGTCAGCTTGAGGTTGGAAGATGCTCCGGACCGGTGGTCCTGTCTCCTGTTGAGCCTGCTGCTCGGCTAGCTGGCGTTGTAGCTCTGCCAGTTGCTCTTGGAGCTGTCTGTACCTCTCTTCACCTTGTTCCTCCATTGCACCTCTCAGTCGTTGTTGTAGTCTCCGATTTGCGTTGTTCCTTCGGCAACTAGCTTCAATCTCGGGGTTAAATTTTGCGGGTGAACTCCCACTAGACCTCGTGATCATGCAAGTACCTGTTAAAACACACAAACCAAAAAGGATGCAATTAAGAACCAACGTATAAAACAAAAACAAAAATGACTAAAGTAATATCTACCCGTCTTCTTCTAATATTAATTAATTCAACAAACAATCCCCGGCAACGGCGCCAAAAACTTGTTCGCAAAATATTTTCACTATCCGCAAGTGTACGGTATAGCTGTAGTGAGTGGCGAGCAAGGTCGTATTCCACAGAGATTGTTGTCAAAATTAACTAAGTATCAAAATGTAAACGATTAAATATTATTTAGTCTAATGCAAATTTGAATGGTGATTTTATTCTAAACTAATGAATGATTGCAAAATAAATTCTAACACTAATGAAGGCTTGTTCTAAGATAAATCAAGAATGAGAAAATAGATTCTAGGCTATGCTTTCCTCGGGATTATTCTAACAAAGATTAATTATTCATTCAAACCTTATTTAATTCTACCATTCGTAGGGATAATCACTAAAGTAATTTACACCTTTCTCTCGAACAAGTTAAATCGTAGATATTAATTGTTATCTATCTCCTCTCGGTCTCAAGATGAACAATCAACTCCCATAAGCTCCTAAGATTCTAGTTCCCTCGCAAGATTCTATCAACCTCTCGGTCTGTTTAGTCTCTTACGTTATGAATTTCCCAATTCTAGCAATCAACTATCTCCTCTCGGTCTCAAGTCAATCACAAATATGCATAAATACGGGCCCTTATATTCACACAATTAACAAAAGCACAAGAAATTGATAAACGAATGATAAACCGGAATGAATAAACAAAATCACTTCATAAAAAAATCCGAGTACTCGCAAATCCTAGAATCCCTAAAAGGTTTAGCTACTAAACATATTCTCAAAGCTCAAAATAAATATATTCATGAGTTCAATGAAGAAGAAAAAGAGAAAAGAAAGAAGAACTATTGTCGCCGTTAGTTCCCGGATCTTCAATCTTGACTTCCTCGAATCCCTCGTGTGTTTCGTGCTTTCTCTAGGCCTCCAATGGTGTCAAAAGTCCCAAAAACGAGTTCCTAAGGCCTCTTTTATACTGTAGGGTCATTCAGGGTCGAAAAAGGGAAGAAAACGCATAAGAATCCTATTCCCCGCAGGTTTGGTCTGCCGTCACACGAGTCGTGTGCCATGCCACACGAGTCGTGTGACTTTTCTCCAATTTTCGGCAAACTCCCAGACTCACACGAGCACTCACACGACCGGGTCACACGAGTCGTGTGAGGCCACACGACTCGTGTCCCTACCCACACGACTCGTGTGAGAATGCCGTGGCTGCATCTCTTATTTCTTCAACCCACACGACCCGTGTCACTATCCACACGAGTCGTGTGACCTCTTCTGCACCCGTTTTCGTCGTTTTTCGTCCCGATTCCATCTACAACGCATTTCCGGGCATATTTCCTGCAAAAACAACGACAAAAACACCTCTATCATAGTTTAATAAATAAAACGAAATGGTGCACAATCACACGATAATGATGGCCAAATATCACTATATATCACTCATAATGCATGAAAATATGATGAATGTCACTCAAGCATTTCACGAACTTGCTTCTCAATCTCGGTTTTCTGAAAATGAGTATACCGATAAGGATGTACATGAACCACTTTGGTTTCATGCAACAAGGGAATACGGTGATCAAACTCTCTTCTGGGCGGTAGATTTTTTGGATCAGCCTTCACTTCTTGGAATTGTTGTAGCAACTCGTCAATCTCCTGCTGATGTGTTTGATCTATTCCCACGTCTTCCAACTCGTTAACTTGAATGACAAAGATTTAGCTACCCTTCCTCCACAATTTCTCCAAACTCTGAGCACTCACCTCCTTCATTTCTTCATGAATTCCAGTTGATAATTTAACCAGTCCATAGTAATCGTTCGAAAAGATCTCTTTGTTGATAAGATGATTGCATTTTCACTCTGTTGGGTATGTAAATGTCCGATTTTGGGTCTGCCCTTTTCGTATTCAGCTCAGACTTGGAGCTAAAAATGGCAAACGACTGCATTTGGCAAAGGTTGTCATATTCCTATTAAATGAGCATTTGTTTTGAAATAAAATCAATTCAGTGACGAAAGAGTAACGATGGTGCCAAGTAAATTTATGTAGGAACATTATTCAAAAATCCGGACTATTTCCATGTCTATTTCTTGGTTCTGGAAAGGGTATGCTTGTCGACCACACGATTAGTCCAACCCGTGCTGAAAAATCTTTATAGTGATACTCTCTTATTAGAGTACCTCTTATATATTCCATATGTTGTTGGTTTTTTATGTTTATCATTCAAAAATATCTCTTTGCCGATAGCAATAGTTGTATTTTCCTCTTTTTGGGATGTCAATATTGGATTTTAGTGCTGGCCCTTTTCATATTTAGCTCAGAATTGGTAGTTGGTAATGGTGAATTAGTGATGACTACATTTGGCAAAGTTTATCACACAACTTTTAGATGAGCATTTGTGTTGAAATCAAAGCAGTTGAGTGACTAAAGGAATGATGATGATGCCAAGGAGATTTATGTAGGAATATTAACGAATAAATCCTAACTATTTCCATGTCGAATTTTTAGTTCCGGAAAGGGTACACACTGATTACTGCGAGCCGTGCTGGTTCGAAAAGATCTCATTGTCGATAGCATTTATTGTATTTTCCTCTGTTTGTAATGTCAATTTCCGATTTTGAGTGGGCCCTTTTCGTATTTAGCTCAGAACTGAAGCTAGTAATCACGATAACTGCATTTACCAGCAAGGAGGGGAGTTCTTCTTCACGAAATGCTATTATGTGGTCACATAATCAAGAGAATGGCTCTTATTTCTGGAGAACTGTAAAAAACTTGTAATTTTGTTTAAAAGCCTCATATAGTAGTAGTCTCTGCTGCTAGGTTTTGTACGTGTGTGCAAGTACAGAAATATCAGATTCTGCTGCTAGGTTTAAATCAACTCATTTTCTCTGTGTAGAAACTAGTCCAGATTTTTGTACATTATCATCACATCAGACTTAAAATTACTTGACACACGAGAACAATCTTAATATAACAATGAAAAAACACAATAATAATAATAAAAATAAACCATAAAGACATCATATGTTCCAAGTTTTTTTTTTCCCCTCACTCAAGTTTTTTATCATAAGCTCCTGGACACACCCTTGATGCATCCTGAAATAACACTTGGAGCATTCAAATGCTATATCATCAGTCTCCCTTATGCTTTTTCCACAATGGCCACAGAGGTATCCATCGACCGAAACAGTCCGAACGCAGGCAACCGGACAGTCATGGCACTCGACCAAAACCTCCAACCCGAACTTAATCTTTGACAGACGATCGAGACAAGGAATGCAGTTTGCGTGAAAATATTGTCCACATTCTTCGCAGCCGTAGTGCCATTTTCTCCAATCCATGTCCTCTTCACAAATCTCGCAAAGCCGGTTTTATTCTTCTTCTTCTTCTTCTTCTTCTGCTCCTCTGATTGAGCTCGTGATTAGCTTCAAAGGGTGTCGGTCGAATTTTTGGGTGACCGTGTTTGGAGAAGAGCGCAGTGCGGGTGGATGGAGAAGCTACGACAGTTGCTACACGCATATGAAGTCATGGAATATTCATTGACTTTTTCGAGGCAGCATGTACACGTTAAGCTCATAAGATATTCGTAGAACTCGCCGATTTCCCACCTCCCTTGAAGAATGTGGGCCTTCCCGTGGGCACCGTGCGTGATTAAGTGAGGCATTAAGGCACACACCACATCCATATACTTTTCCTCTCTTCTATGGATATAGTAAGCGGATCCATTGCATTTGTGCTTGCAAACCACACACTCGAATATGGTGAAGGACTTCGTGGCTACCTTTGGTATAAATGAACAGTAACCGGTGTGGAAGGACGAAAAAGTTTTTGGAAAACTGGAACAACAGTTGTGCAGGAAAAAATCTTTGCACGTATTATTATCTGCGCAACTGTAAAATGGATCGGGTGGAAGGATAATTTGAGCACAGGCATTGCAAACACGAATATTGTCATTGTGAGCATGGTGATGATAGATCAAGGGATGCTCGTGTACTCTGATAGTTTCTAATGAATCGATAGAACGAAATGGATGATCGTAACGCGTAATATTGCCAAGAGAATAATGTGCGTGTGTGTGGAAACCGGGTGTCCTGGTTTTTATAATACGCGGCATCGCGCTAGCATGCTCGTTTTCCATCAGCAGACGAAGTAGACTTTGGGAACTCTGCTTCACGAACCAACACTGCAAAAAAAAAAAAAAAATTAAACTTTATGTTAAGTTTAATAATGTGTGTGCACGCGCTAATTAAGAAGATTATCGAATTTATGTATTACCGGGATGGAACCTTTGACGTGTCGAGTTAACAGAACAGTGGATATGAACATAATAACGACAAGTGACACAGGTGTAGAACCCGAAAGTCGTGATTTCGCGGGTGCAAATGTTGCACCATCAATCGGGTGTATTAATAGAAAATCGAAGGAGAAGAGGGTGCTCGTGACATGCTGTGTCGACAATGGCATTCGGAAGAAGCGCACAGTCTAGATGAAGCCAGAAATTGCAACTCGTGCGCGCGTAAGCCTTTACATGCGCATCAACCGGTGCGTGTTGTTTCTCGCACGCTCTGCAGATGAATAAGAGAGACGGAATAGCCCACGCAGGCTCCTTAATAGACGTCAACCTGTGCCCGTGGCTCCTGTGTAGAACTGTGTTCGACAAGGCACACGGGAGATTGAGCCTGAACCCACACTCTCGATCATCACCCATCGGGCACTCGTAAAATTTGCTCCCGCAAGTCCACCAACATCTTTTGCAATCATATCCCGCATCGTCATCTTCTTCCGGGCGGTGGTGTCGGAGGATGAGGGGGCCCTCGGGTGCAGGGGAGGGCCCGCGAGTTGGGGAGGGAGAGATTGGTCGGAGCATTGATCGTGAAGCAGGAGATTGCTGCTCCCCGATTCATCTACGACGAAAGGGGTGGAGAATATCGGGAGGCGACAAGCGGGGCATGTCCATGAGTTGGCGTCGTCCGGGTCGGCCATGTTTTCGACCTCAAGATAAGGGATAGTGTGTCCTACTTCGGAGAATCCCTGATACATTTTGGAGGGTGGGTGTTAAGAGAATGGCTCAACAATGGTGGTCAGGTTAATTGCCTGGAAAACAAAGCAAATGAAAGAAAAAATGTGTACAAAAATATGGATCAACACATCAAGGGACAAAAGGGAGCATGTTATTAATGTGAATAGTCTTTTGGTCATTTTAGCTTCCAACTATACTTCAAGTATCTAACTTTTTTCCTTCATCAAATGTATATGTACTTTGTCAAATTCCTTGTGTC